CTGTCCGGGCTTTTCTGTAGCATGACAACATTTAACACCTTGCAAAGCGCTGCGGAGATACTAAGTAATGAAATCTGTGTGTATGATGACTTTGGTTATCATTTTACTGGGAGATTAACACCCTCTAGCCATAGAGGGATGATAGAAGCAAAGAATATGGAAAGTGTGAGTGCTACAGTGATGAAGTCGCTCACATCACTAAATAAGCAAAGAGTAAAATTCGACATTAAAACCATTGGCTCTGCAGTCGGTGGTGGTGAAAGCTATTCCCTGACCTTCCTTAAGGTAATTCCTCTTTAAAAAGCTTAGTGATGAGAGGATTGTGAAGCGACAATCTTTTTTTTTTTTTTTCCTTTCCTTTTTCTCTTAGTTTCTTTAAGAGTTTCCAATTATCTCATACCTGAGCGGTAACAACGAAAAAAACATTTATATGGTGGCGGTGTTCGTGTACCTGCGTGGGTTGATTTCTTTCTACGTGAACTTCAGATGTACAACGTAATATTTCAGATTTAGGAGAAAACAGATTTCTCTGACACCAGCATTGGTTGTAGCCTGAGTCCAGACCAGAAGAAAATTGATGCAAAGAGTCTGTGCTGGACGCCAGTCATTGAGTCCTCCTCCTGTCAACTGCGGTGGCAGCATTTGGCCTACATGAGAGTTGAAACTAATCAAGATTTGCCAGTTACGGAGAATTGCGCCAAGAATTTTTAAATAAGAAATAACATAGTTTAGGAAAGTTTATGTTATTTTCTTTTTGGAGGATTTAATTTTAAACAATGGCATAATGTCATGTCTAAAAGAAGACATTTTATTATGTGATGATAAATTATCATGAGACAAAAATATAAACTGTTGGTGTGCCTGCTGCATTAAATTTCTTCTTTCCTAATGAGTTTGAGGCTTTGGGTAACAGTTTAATCTTAAAGTCCAGGTATCCTTTTTTTCTGCTTCTTATGCTGTTGGTATATTTATTCAAATATTTGTACAGTGCTTCAGCTGCTTACACCGTGTTCTTAGAGGAACGGAAAAGCTTACAATCTTGGTGTCAACACAAATATTTTTATAAAAAATAATCTGAATCATAACTAGTGGGTTCAGTTAGGCCTTCTCTGTGAAAGAAGAGTTCCAGCACGGTGTGGAAGCACACGAGCAGCTGGAGGGACAGCAGGAAAGCTGGGCAGGAGGAGAGACTGGTTCAGCTGTTTTCAGGGCAACATTTGTGCGTCCTCTGCCTCGTCCACGTCAAGCATTAAAAGAAGAATGTACGTTAATGTAAAGAAAACGCATATAACGTTTGTAACTGGCCTTTAAGCAATTTGTAAATATGCTTTTGAGACTCTGTTTCTGCGAGTCGAATGCATTACGAAGTACAGGAGAGGTTAAAAGTCATAATCCAGGACTACTGACCCCGCTGTCAAATTCTCTTTATTAGTTTCTGATGTCAAGAATATGATGCAGCAAACAAATGAAGCTGTGTACAAATTCTTTCTTTTCATGTGTGGGAGAGAAAAGGGGACTGTATGCACTTGCTGATAGTGGAAACAACATTCCTATCAAAAGAAAAAAAAATATTTTTTTTGGTCTTAAAACCAAAAAAAGGTGTGTGACTATTGCCAAGTTCTGTGGTGGCTCTTTCTGTCAGCGGATGACATCTGAGTTTGCAGTTGGTCTGGTGGGGACCCCTGGGCTGGGAAGACGATTGTTTCTCTCTCCTGTTGGGGTTATTTTATTAAATGTGTTCACTTTTGCGTATTTGTATTTTGTATGTTAAGGTGTCATGTGAGCCATAGAAATCAAGAAGAAAATGGATTAACATCGTCCTCTCCTCATTAGGATGGCTCTTGTACTGATAGCTGGCTCTTACACACCTTTTGAAATACCACTGTGTTTCAGGTAGAGACAACTACAGGAAGAATTCAGTTATTTGTTAGTTTACAGTAGTAATGACTATATAAATTTTTTGACTAGTTCATTCTTTTGTACCTCTAACAACATTTGTTTAGGAAGAAAAAGGAGGGGAAGACACAAATTGGTATTATACAGAACTAAAATTGTTTATCATCTCAATTCTCATCGGTTTCACAGTTATCTCTATATTAAATTAAAGATCAGCGAAGGAGAAAAGTAGATTACATTTCCATTGTGAGCTAGAAAATAGAAGTGCGGGTACAACAGGTATGCAAAGTAGCTAATGGAAATAAATCACAAGTTTTTAAAGTGCTGTGTTAGAGATGAATGAAAATAGTTTCTAAATTATTATTTTTTAATTCTAAGATGTTTTCACAAAACCAAAATAAATTGGAATGCACGATTATTTGAGAGCACCTTCAGTTTCCATACCTCACAGGTCCAAATCTCGAGTATTAACTTCATCAAAATATCAAGAACAAGGAAGCAGAAAACATACTGCTGTTTAATGTACAAAATACAGGCAAATGCTTGCCATAGCAACCAGCAGTGAGGTGAGACGAGTGCCGTGGTACATGGGCCTGCACTGTGCTTACCTCTTTATTACCCAGGGTTGTACATGAGAGTGATTGTCTTGATAGTCGGAAACCGAGCTGTTTGTCAATTTGATTGTTTTCGTTCAGTTTTTAAATTGCCGGGTGAAGATTGCATGTATGCTGTTTCTGAATAGAAGCGTGCACCTTTCCTGTCAAAACCAAGGCTTTTTATAAAACAGAAGTCTTTTCATGGTTGTAAGATACATTATTAGTACTTGTCACTTTCTTTATGAAAGTATCAGATATGCAGGATTTATAGGATTGAGACTATTGACTAAATTGATGGCTCTGATTTTCTCCTCTTTCAAATTACAACTCCATTTCTTTTTTTTTTTTTCCCCTGTAACTGGAGACAAAAAAATAGCTAGTATCCCTTCTTACATCTTCTCTGTTCAAAGCTACATCCACTCAAATGACACTGCTGCAAATCTGTGAAAAATACTGGTATGTTAGCCTTATAGCTATATTTCACATATGTAAAACAAATATGTTAGTATGTTAGCCTTATAGCTATATATCACGTAAGTAAAACAAATGTGTTAGTATGTTAGCCTGACAGCTATAGCTAATTTTTAAATTAGCTTCTCTGAAAGACCTGCCTGTTGTTACTGTATTTCTTTTAGCTTTAATGTTTTTCACTTGGTATATTTTGTTGTTAGGCAGTTAAAATGCGCTTTTGAAATTTATTCATATGGCCAACTTGTTGTCATACAAGAGAACAGTACGCTTGGAAAAGGCCATATGTTCGTGCAAAGGTAGTCTTGGAAGGTAGGATATCTGCTTCTTGTTTTCTTATGTCATCTGTTATGTTTTAACTTCATTTTCTCCAGATACCGTGTCTAGCAAATATACGGATAATATATGTGAATTCTAATCAGTAAGGAAGCAAGATTATTATTTCCAACAGCGTTATGATGACTTTAGTCAGGTACTCAAAACAGATTTTTTTAGACATGCCTACCTGCTCTTTGGTATAATAACAGTTAAAATTTAGAATTGGGATCATACGTTTTGAATGTGTAGACAGCTAAATATTACTTCTATTTAAACAATGAAATATACTGAGGTCCTCCTATGAAAACAGGGGATGAAAAGATATTTTCAATACCGCAGTACTCCAAAATAAAATAAATAGGCAAACATACTGAATTTACCCAAGCACCCTGGACTGGCATGAGCCAAGTTCACCGCTGCTCTGTCCACTTCGAGTTACTCATTCCTGTCCACGTGCCGCTCCTTCCTAAGCATCTAGTCCAGCACAAGCATTCCTCCAGCCACAGAGATTAGGGAACCGATCTAGGTTAAGACTAATCCGGCAGAAATACACAAATCGGCTCCCTTATTTGATTCACCGGCCCAGCGTTAGCCTCTGCGGAGGAGAGGGAGCAGCACCGAACTGCAGTGCCTGGCCTGGAGCAGGAGGAGCCTTTCAACAGAGGGGCTTGAGCTGTGCCCTCTAACCTGAGGCAGGGGCTACACCTCCGGGATTTCCTCCTCAAGAACAGTCCCAAGTTCCAGGAAAATGAAGAAGTAAGGAAAAAAAATCTGGTGTCCCCATAGTTTTCAAGCTTTCTGCTGAGGAGCTAACAGAGCCCTGATTTAAGCCAGGCCTTCTGGATTGATCGAGGTTCCAGGTCTACGTTGGGGAAACCTAAAAATCCTGTGATCCCTGTAGTTACTCCAAGTATAATCATGCAAAGATATTTTCACCAACTGTTTATGCTGGTTATAAGAATAAAATTAAATACAAGGCTCTGGTTAGGCTGAGTTCATGATTCTCCATCACATGTTCAAGTCACAGAATTAGTCGTGTGTTTGTTTTAGGGGAAAAATCTACAAGGCGTTTTAGGGAAAAATGCCTACAAGTCTGAAAACTACTTTCAATGGTATTTAAGCTACTTTGGTGTTTTTATGTTAATTTATATATATGTGTGAGTGTATATATAGAGAGAGGTATGTATATAAATTAGATATAAATAAGCAAAACTGGGCATCTTTTTTACAATTTTAGTTCTCTGAAGTTTTATGGTAGAACATCTCAAGAATATCTCATTAAAAAGTCCTTTTATCCATCCTCCAGCTGTGTGGGCTCTATTTCTATAGCCTTAAATTCTGTAGAAGTGTAAAGCAGTGGAGGATATGGCCAGAGTTGGACCCTGCCCTTGGACGGTGGGGTGGTATTCTCATTTTGTGTTTATGGTCAATGAAGAAAGAGAAGTCCTTCTAGAGGGCAGTTCAGAAAACAGCTGTATTTAGGATCAGATGACATTAATTTATTTTCAGTCACACTTTGGACTCTACCTTTCTTCACTGACTACTGAGAGCGCCTAGGTAAACTCACCGGTTTTGTTCAAAGTTTGCTTTTCTGAATGCGCCCATCGTTTTTGTGTGGTGAAGCAGTCTGTTAGAGAAGCCGTGCAGTCTGCGTGAAGCGCAGGTATTGATAACTTGTCTTTCTGCAAATCTTGTTTTAGTACAAAGTGTATTTTATTGCAGGAAGAAGAGGCTTTATCACAACAAAACGAGCAAAGAAACATAAAGTCTTGAAGACACAGCACTTCTCTAATTCTTTCCAAAAGTTCAGAGACCCACCAAAACCTGGTGGATTACCTCCACCAGTCTTCCTGATTTGAGGTAGGTGAATTCTCTCTTTGCCACTCTTTCTCTTCCTGTCACGTATATATGGACACTAAATACAGCGATTTCAAATTTTGAAATCATTTCTCCTGTTTTCTTTGATGTGTCAGACAATGACAGTGGGCTTCCAATAGGCTGGTGTTACAGGCAGTGGTGTTTATCTGGTGGTAATGTAGTGTCACCACTAGAAATCAATGATACCGTGTTTATTCTTAGTATTATGGAAGACGATGCACTTACTAAATACCATTTTGTGCGACTTTTCCACTTAACAAAATAAAAATAGCAATTATTGAAAATAAAATCAGACAAAATCAGACCGGATGCTTGTAAACAGGTCTCTAAGCTTTTGCCATTTTTTTCTAGCGTGGAGCCCATGGCTCTAATTTGGAATATGCTTTTTTGGAGGAGTGTTTTTCAGTTATGCTACAGGGTAAATGGGAAGAATAACCTGAGAAACAGCCGATAATAAAGTTGATTGGTTTAGAAGAAATAAATTTAAAACCTACCTGAAGAAAAAAGAGAATTGGCTGACTGCCATTCTCTTTCACTAGTCATTTGTGACAGCGCGCAATTGAAAAGTTATTGAGTTTGTTTCTGTTACTGGAAGACCATTTTTTGGTATTTTTAATTTTTTGTTATGAAAAGTAGAGTATCTTTAATTTTAGATGCATCAAATACCACAGTTGTAAGAATATTGTATGTATCTTAAGAGATTAGATGGGGACAGGATTTTTTTAATCTGTTAGCACAGACTTGTTATGTAAATAGAAAGCTCACAAAGCAAATGAGGCAGCACATGCACTGAAAAAACAGATGTCTCTTCCCTGGAAATACATTCACCATTAGATTCCTGCAACTTGGTGAGAACTCATTGGGAAGTTTATTGTTACGGATATGTATGCAATTGAAAAATAAACATATTGTAGTCACTGTGTAAGTCCTGTACTTATCTCTGAATGATAAAAATAGACTGGTCTTTCCACGCATGGTGCAGTGCTATTTAATAACAGCTAGGACAGTCTGTGACAATCACCTTCTTGCATTAAATAGCAGATGTCAGAAGTAGAAGTGCTTTTTTCAATGTCAAGTGTCCATTTTTTTAATTGAAAAAAAATCCTTTGCAGTTTTTTTACAAACACTTATTCTTCATTCTTCATCACAAAACCTGGTAGTTTCTGATAGGCAAAGAAAGATGGGAAGGCTGGTTAAAAGGAGAATGAGAACAAGACTTTCAGGAGGGGAAAAGCAATGCAGAGCCTATTGAATTAGCCACAAAAATTCTCTTGGCTCGCCGTATAGGAGCCTTTTGATTATCACCCGTAGTCTATGCTTAGTGTTTATAAAACTGTATTCTGTAGCTGGTCATCTGTCTCTGTGGTGCTAGTATTTTGATGCTAGTAAGTTTGTAACTGGCATATGCATAATTAAGGTAATGTCTGGTTTTTCAGCAGAAACTTTAATTACATCTTTGCTTACACGTTTCCATTTCCGTATGCTCAGTATGGACAATTTTTATCGTTACTTTATTGTTACTATTTTATTTAGATATCATAAGTTAAAAATCAGGTTATTTATTTGAATTCATTTTAATAACGCTTTTCTGTAGATTTCTTGAGGCTTTTATCAGTAGCTTCTTTTACTGATGCTACTTCAATCTTTAGTACTGTCCACATGACCTAGTTATTTTAAGCCCTAGTATGACTTAGGTTTCCTTCTTGGGCTATTTCATCCGTCTATTGAAATTGTTTCCAGTAAATTAGTTTTACAGTGTTTGCTGTGATTAGCATTATACGCTCAAGGGAAGTTCTTCATAAAAATGTCTCTTATCAATACTTTCAATGTGTTTAAACATTAATAAATAATTTTGTCTGAAGAATGTAATATCTATAGTGAAATTACAATCTAGAATATATTTGTATGCAAATTCTTTAATGGTAGGTTATATCATCTTTCTATTTGTTTTGTTACTGTAAAGATAAGCTGTGTTGTGAAGCCATGGATTCTTATTTATCTATAATTTTATGATTAATCTACGTAAAATGTTCATTCTTTGAAATATTTCGTGCAGCTTATATACAGCGGAAACAAACATTTCTGTCATTTCTACAATTGAAGAAGAAATTCTTATGTTTAAATTATGCCATTTATATGTCAGATTTTAAGACTTAGAATTTCTGGGGTAATTTAGAAAGCATTGGCATTCAGTTTCTTGATAAGCTGAAGCTAGTAGCTAAAGCCCATTCGTAAGAGCCCGACCTTGCGAATCCTGTGGATGCTTCACAGGAGAGAGTTCAGTGTGTCTCAAACTCCATGAGATTTGTATTGTTCTCCTTTCATGGTGTGTCTGGCTTTGTTGCGAGTAACCTTTACTGCAGCTCTGTCCATTGAATACCCCAATTCTTCACCTGCTAAATTGCAGTATTTTTTTCAGTCATATATATTCAGTGTTTAGAGCCCTATGACTCCTTGCATTTATAAACTCACAGTTTTGCTTGTTCGACAAAGTTGTTTAACCCTTTCAACTAAGGGGAAGAGGCTTTATTTTACTAATAACAATAATATTCATTTTGTTGTTATGTTGTTTTTTGGGTTTTTTTTTTTTTAATTTTAATCATATTAATAATACCTATGGACTGGATGTACCTTGTTAGTATTCTAGATACAGAAAAACATTCAGTATTAAGAACAGGTAAGCCCTGTAATGTTCAGAAGCATTAAACGTATAGTGCTTAAACATGGAAGCTGTCTAGTGGCCCAGTCTTTAAGAAAATCTAAATGTATATTCATAATTTTGTAGGGGCGTAATTTTCAAAGTGATACTGGTTTTTAGCAAACTAATAATTTTTCTTCTAAGTAGTTTGCATATGAAAAAAACTGTTCGCTGAAAGGCTCTACTGGGTCAGTAAATGCAGTCTGAAACAACCAAGACTCTTTGGTACCCATTTTTACAAAATGCTGTGCCCCAATTTTGCCGTTAAATTGGGAAGATGCTGATCAACTGCTAACTCCGTTAAATTACTGGTACTAGTAAAGACAATGAAAGCCAAACAGCAGATCATCACCAAGGAAGCAAAAAGGTTTTGCTTATAAACTTAACTAACATATTTTAACAATCATAGTAAATACGGTATTTGGTACTTGCAGCCAATGTACTTTATGTGACTTACGTGCCTATACCCTGTTTGTTTAGCTTATCTGAAATTTTTCATTCAAGTTTTGTATCAACGGGTTTTCTGTTAGGGGAGAAGGTTTTTCAACAACAACCAAGACCTTTACTATGATGACAAATGGCTTTAAAAGAGATTCCAAATACGTGATCTGTAAATCGGAACAAATTCATTAGATTTTCTGTAGGATTCAAAAAGCATTGATTGGCTATGTTGTATCTATTTAGTCAAGGATTTATTAAAAAAAAAAAAAGAAAACTAAAATCCCCAATAATTCTGAATTTGTTAAATGTGTATTTCTAATCCCTAACTGTGCCCTTACTGAGTCCTCAGGCTTTCAGGTATAATGGTTTAAAGGCCTACATTAACTGTTTTGGATATGCCTTTAACCTAATGAGCTCCAATCCATTTCACCTCTAAAAGAACTAATTAATTGACTTAAAGTCCTGCAAAGACTGTTAACTCCTTTCAGTGTCAGAGAAATTGAAACTGGCACAATCGAAGCCTGACTAACTCTGAGCCAGTGGAGGACTGCAGGTCCATTTTGGTGGTGATTCTGAAGGAAATGGCTCAGTAACAGGCAGATGTTATGGAATAACCCAGGTTCTGTTTCAGGTGGGGGGTCAGCAGTTTCTGTGTCACTGTGCAACGACTAATTTAATAGGTCATCCACCGTACTGGTGAACCTTTTACATAACCAAGGCCATTTGCAGTATCGTAACTCTTGAAAGCCTACACTTCTTGCCTTTGTAGTTGAAGGTTTTTAGCATGCATCAGTACACCTCAAGTTGTCTGAAGAAGTGACCTTTTTTGTATGCATACTAGTTCCATCATAAAAATCCATATACTCATTTTTATAGAAATCTACTCACTCTTCTGGACAGTGAACCACCATAATGTAGTAAAAGGTATCTTTTTTTTTTATCAGTTCCAGTCAGAGCCATCCTACCCTTCTTTAAAAGCAAATATTATTACAGTTTATACTACAAAGTAATTGGATAAGGGCTCACAAAGCAATCAAGAAAAGTGAAATAAAAACATTTGGCTCATTCTTTAATTTAAATAATGCAACTGTCTCAACAGATGTAACGTGGGGTGCAAGAGTTCCTCAGATGGGGGGTGTAGTAAGACAAGGAGCCAGCCTCAATGGACATAGCCCATTATCGAGATCTAAACAGGAGACTGTCTAAAGCAAAGCTGAAAGTGCGTCAACAATTTTAAGAAGCCTAAAGATCCCCAAGGTAACTAGAAGCAAGACCATGAGGAGTAATGTAGGTAAGTATTCACAAGTAAATCAATGCATTTATTAAGCTGAGAAACTTGATTTTATTTTGATAGTTTTATGCTGTGGTAGTAAAGTTTGTTACAAAATGTATTTCAAGTAGGATAATACAAAAAATTTGAGCCAATGTTAAAAAAAATTAGAAGAACAGCAGACATCTTCAACATTTAATGGTGCTGAAATAGAAGAGTAAACAATTTAGCAATTCATATCTGTGTACAAGATAGACAGTACACCCATATGTGGACCTTTTTGATAACAGAACAAAGAAGAAAAAAGCATCCTTGACCTAGATTTAACAGATTGTATTGAAACAGCATTTGAAGCACAGTATTTTAATGGTAAGAAAATTACCGTTTTGTGACAGTGTGATTCATATGGAATATTAGTCATAATTGGTAGTAATATATTTTGACATAATTAAACAATAGAACTCCAGTTATCTGTATCAGAAAATATGCAGCACCATTCTTGACCTACATTATATTGTAGTAGCAAAGTGTAGCTGCCTTGCCCTGAGATGAAGCCAGAACTTTACAGTAAAATGTTAAAACGAAATGCTCGTATTCTTATACATTTTCATAATCAAAATATAAGGTTATACCATGTCAACAACCAGCAGATGGAGAAAAAGAACGTCCTAGGAAGCTCAAAGAACACGCTAGGAAACTGAGCTATAAATACCAGGCTAATTCCATAGCTTTAAGATTTCTCCAAAGCTTTTTTAAATCCCTTCAGAAAAGACTGAAGAGATCCCTAATCTGAAGTGCCCCAGTTGAAGAAATGTGTACGTTTTTATTTTTAAATAAAATTATGTCAATCTACAATAGATTGTTTGGACATCTTAATGAGTCAATGTAGTGTCTTTACTGTATTTGTTGCATCAGAATAAGGTTTTTAAACACATTGGTACGTTTTCATTCTTATCAGTACTTTCTTCTTCAGAGAAAATACAGAATTCTGTCTGATCACCTCTGAACCGATGTGTATAGTATTCCCACAGAATACTTGATGTTCGCAACTCATTTTGAATCTCTATTTTTTAGAGAGCTGTCCCTTTCAGTAGAGAGAGCTAACAGAAGAGCAATCTTCTTTGGTAGGATTTTATGAAAATTTGGAAGATCTTGTGATATTTTTTTCCTTTGCATTTGTAAATTGTACCTATGGAAACTAATGCTGTGGCTATATTTCAAAATATTTGTTTTTCTGGCTTCCATACTTAATAGCCTAAATTCTTGAAAGCAGGCTTTCAGATTTCATGGTGTTCCAAGGAGGATGTTATTCTCATGTTGTAATTGAATTTGGTGAATCTGCGATGTGAACAGGTTCTAAGACAAGCGTCTGTAAGAAAACCTGGTTTGTGAGATAAGCGAATTGTTGAGTGTATAAGTGAAGGGATTATTTTGTCCATAATGTTGGGTGAAAAGTTGTATACGCTTGTATTACTGAAGCACTGTGTAATGTTTCCTGTTGAAGTTAGCAAAACCAGTAGCTGGGGATGTCATGAGACAGAACTATCACGTAACCGTAGAGTGATACCGGTTGGAAGGGATATCTGGAGGTCACACAGAACAGCTGAGGTTGGAAGGGACCTCTGGAGGTCATCTTGTCCAATTCCCCTGGTCAAGCAAGGTCACCTAGAGCAGGTTGCCCAGGATCATGTCAAGACAGATTTTGAATATATCCATGGATGGAGACTCCACCAGCTCTCTGGGCAACCTATGCCAGTGCTCTGTCACGCTTACGGTAAAAAAGTGTTTCCTGATGTTCAGACGGAACCTCCTGTGTTTCAGTCTGTGCCCGTTACCTCTTGTCCTGTTACTGGACACCACTGAAAAGAGCCTAGCCCCATCTTCTTTGCACCCTTCTTTCAGGTATTCATACACATTGAGAAGATCCCCCCAGCGCCTTAATTTTCCTAATATGTATTCAAAACTTTCCATGTTGCACGTGTCTCCTGCTTGTCCTTTAACTGTGGGTGTCAGAGGAGATTCTGGCTCCATCTTCTCCTTAAGCACATGTTAGCTAGTTGAAGACATGTTGTTGTTTAACCCAGCAGGCAGCTAAACACCACACAGCCGTTCACTCACTCCCCCCCCCGCCTCCCAGTGGGATGGGGGAGAGAATCGGGGGGGGGGGGTAGTAAAATTCGTGGGTTGAGATAAAGACAGTTTAATAGGACAGAAAAGGAAGAGAAGATAATGATAAAAGAACATACAAAGTAGGTGACGCACGGTGCAATTGCTCACCACCTGCCAACCGATGCCCAGCCA